CTCCCCTGAGAGCCCGTGCTGGGAGCGGGGAACAGGGACCAGCAGCAGCTGGGGAGAAGGCGTCGCCCTCGGAGCCACACACGGCACAAACAAGTGAAATCACAGCGTGTTCCAGCTGACAAGCACTGCCCTCCCTGTGTAGGGCACCGGGATCTGCCTCACCTGCTGCTGCATTCGGGCACACCTGGTCCCTATGGCACCAGTGATGGCATCGCATCCGATCCCTGAAACCAGGCAGTGGAAGCACTGCAGGAATAATCAGGTAATCCTGGAATGGTTTGGGTTGGAAGAAACCTTAAAGACTATCCAGATTCACCCCCCTGCCATGGGCAGGGACACCTTCCACTAGAGCAAGTTGCTCCAAGCCCTGTCCAGCCTGGCCTTGGACGCTTTGAGGGATGGGAAGCTCCTCTGGGCAAATTGAGCCCAGCTCTCCATACAGTGAGAAATGCAAAAATATGAAATCAGCTCCTGGCTGCTGTGAAAATTCATCCAGCAATGGGAGCTGCAGAACAAACCAATTTCAGACAAAGAGCTGGAAACACACACAAATACGGAATGGTTTGTGTTGGAAGGGACCAACCTAAACCCACCCTGCTGCAGCAGATCCCCATCCTGACCCCACACACATCACAGTGCTCGTGGCAAAGGAGAGACTGAACACTCTGCTCAGTGCCAGAGTCCCTTCCCTCCAACATCCAGGGCTAATTTAGTATAGAAAGACATGCTGAAATTAATTTATTTCTATTTCTTTCTTCTGGCCTAAGCAGCTCCCCTCCCACTTTTTCCAGATTGATCCATCAGAAAATGAGCCCTGCTAATGCTCCATGCCAACCACTGAGATAAAAGCCAGCCCTCGGCTTCCAGGAGCCTCCAGGTTGCTCCAGCCCTTCCAAGGGAGGCACCAGGCAAAGGCTGTGATGAAGCATCACTTAGAGGGCAGGGATGTGGGCACCTGCTGGGAACTGGAGCATCTCCCCAAGGACAGGCATTCGGGTGCCCACTGGGGACCAGCAGATGCTCAGGGCATCCACAGCCCCCTGCCCTGAGCACATGGAGATCCAGGACCAGTCTTGGTGAATCCAAACCATGGTCACTGTTCCTCTGCATGGCAGGAGCACATCTCCCATCCTCCTACAAAAGCTCAGCTGGCTGCTCGAGGCACAGGCGGCCGCCGAGGGCTGGTGGAAGGTGCACACACAAACACAACAAAATCTCATGGAAAAAAAATATTATACACCGTTGATTCCACCCCCTGAGTAGCACAGAGCTGAGTGTAATCAAGAGTCCTTAGAGCTCAGGGCCACCGGTGGCAGGTTTGTTTACAGCACAGCAGCCGTCCCGGCAGGCAGATTATCTGCGGCACGGCCAAGGCTGGAACTCGGAGCCTCCCGAGGGGACTGCGGCGGGGGCAGCAGCAGAAACCCCCCGGGCACATCGGTGTGAACCGGTGGACATCAAAGCTGAACCTTCAGAGGAGGCAATGCCTATGTCTGCTCCCTGCTCGGGCAGCCCGGAGCTGTGCCGAGGCGTCGGGGCTCCCTCCTGCTCCTCCTCTTCCAGCAGCACCAAACTCGGTGCCAGGAGGATGCTGGTTTGCTCCCCCTCCTCGGGGCAGCAAGTGAGGAGCCACACCACGACACACCTCGGAGAACAAGAGAAGCCACCCTGCTCTGAACTCCACCAAAAAGTGCTTCCCAATGGTTTCATCCCCCTGATTAACACAGAAACCATCCCCCCTGCTAATGCAAAGAAGCTCATTAGCACCTCTTCCCAGGGAGAAAAGGCTCATCCTTAATTTTATTTTTCTTTCATGTTCTTCTCCTTTCAGGTCCAATTAGAACAAAAATCCTCACCTGCCTGACCCTGCAAAGCTCGGGGCTGTGAGCACTGGGCTGGGCAGCCCCAGGGAGCCGGGATGTCATCGGGGACAGGGACACGGTGGGCTCACGAGGCCCTTTGGCTTCTCTGCTTTGGCAAGACCTTCCTCCCGTTAGTCAGCTGTCACGACAGGACAGAAGTCCCACTGGCTGCTCAGCTTGGATTTCTGTCGAGGTTTCTGCAGAGTTGCCAAAATTACAGCAAGAGGCAGCTCCTTCCGTGGCACTGAGAAAAATGGGATTCACACCCCTGAGGGCTAATCCTGCTCTTTTCCAGGAGCCCCTTCTCCCTGGAATCTGAACATATGAAGGCAGGAAAGCACACATGACCTGCCCAGAGAGCTGCTCTGCCCTCACCGGTGGAGATCTGTGGGGAGAGACCTTCCCCAGGAGGAAGAAGACCTTGTGCCATGGCTCGGAATGAATTATTCCTTCATGGGAAGGAATAATTAAGCCCCTTGTTATATAGTAATGGCTGGAAACCCTGAAGGTGACAACTGTGACCCAGACACCGGAGACAGAGAGGGGTTTGCCCCCCACCTCAGGGTTTTCTCCTCAGAGGGAAACAACACAGTAACTCCAACCATGTTTCTGCCGCTCCAAGCAACCCCCTGCTCAAGATCCCACACACCCACAGCATGGGGGGATCACCCCAGCAGAGCAGCCCCAGCCAAATCCTCGGCTGTGGATACCCTGGCATTGTCCTGGCTGAATGCTGAGGCTGGAATTTTCTCAAGGAGCTAAAGATGCTCCCCCAGCAAGCCCAGTTTTCACAGGAAGGAATGTTGAGGACTTGACACCTCCAAAGCTTGAAGCCAACAGGTGCCATTTTGATGCCTTTTTTAACAATACAATCATCTTTATTTCCCCAGCATCAGTGGTTTGTTTTCCAAATACATTCAGATCAACATCCTTCTTTGTTTAAGAGATGATGATAAACAAACACGATGTGGGAGGCTCTCCCTCACATAAAACAGTAGGAGGGAACAAACCTTGGGGGCCATTAGGAATTGTAATGCCAGATTAATTTTAAATGGATTTCTATTCATTTACATTCACTCAGGCCTATGTAATCCATTAGCTTTGCATGCATCTAATGGCTCAACATCCTTGAAAATGAGCAATGGATCCTGGACCCCCGAGACCAGTGGGTGGATTGGGAGAGGAGGCGGATAGTGACTGGGTGGGCACAGGGGCTGCTCATCCCATCCCAGGGAGCCTGCAGGGACCAAGTGGCAAAAAGAAGAGTGGAGATGGCCCCAAAAGCAACGTCAGGAGTTGGGCAGCTCTGTCCCTGGGGTTTCCCCAGCTGGGATGGGATCCAGGGTCCCGGCAGGTCCCGGCTCCCGCAGCCAAACAAGGTCACACGTGCACAGGAGTGCAGCTGCCACACGCGCTGGCCTTGGGGAGGTCCCTGCAGTCTCTGCTGCCAGCAAGGCTCAGAGACTGCCACAAACACTGCCACAAACCCTGCCAGAACCCCGCAAAGCACCGAAATAAACACTCTGTGCTCGCTCAGCACCTCCAACACCAGGCCAAGAGAGCGCAGCAAACCCCAGCGACGTCCTCCCACCCCAGCCTGCCTCGCCTGAAACAGCCTCATTCACTTCAGCCAGCAAACCCCAAGCAAATTCTGGAATTTTGGAGAGAAGGAGCTGCCATGTGACAGTTTTCTGATTAGAAAGACACAAATTAAAACCAGCAGAAGCCTCCAGCGTTGCCACCCCAGAGCATCATCTGCACCACGGTGCCAACGGCGAGAGGGACAATTACACAGCACCTGCAAACAGGATTATCTCAATGGGAACAGAGATGCACATCAAAAAACTATTTCCATGTCCCCCCAAAATTATGAGTGCCTTAAAAGGATGATAATAATGAGTTTTAGGGCATACACATGATCTTCCCCACTGCATAATCTCCCCATTTCAGAGCAATGTAGCTCTAGCAGCTCTGTTAGAGAAGTAATTTAACCCTAATTTGATTGCTTCTCAGTTACAGTAGTTTCAGTGCTCTAATCAATAAGTCACAGGGTTTTACGACTGCCCTTGGTATATCAATCATTGCAATCGGTAATAAAATGCTTTTCATCTGAAGAACACCTGAAATACTGTGTAATTACCTTTGTATAAAATTACAGACTCCAATTTACCCATTTCACCTGCTGCAGCCAACAGCCTCGCTCGGCACCAAACATCATTTCCTTCCTAAAGGCTTTCTGAGCCTTTCTGAGCCGTCCTTCATCCCTTCCCATGTCACTGCAGCAGCGAGGTATTACTCACACCCCACAAAACAGCAGGTTACAAGAGACACCCATCTCCCAGGAATCCTTCAAGAAAGGGAGAGATCCAACCCGAGACCACAATGTCCCCAGGCAGCCACAAGGTACTGATGGGGAAACATGGCCAAGGGAAGGTTTCAAGGCCCCCGGCTGGCACTAAGGTGTCCCTGCCTGGCAAAGGATGCTCTGGGCACACCAGGCCATTGCAGGGCACGATGTGTCTCCCCTTCTGCCCCCTCAGCCACCCCATTACCCCTCGGTCAAGCAGGTTCCTGCTGTCCTCACTGGAGCCATACAGCTCTGACACACTGACGGCAGGACTCTCCCAGCACTGGGATGCTCTGATCACAGACAAAACAGACATCTCAGAGACCCCTCAGCACAACACGCCCCCAAGCCAGAGGGAGCAGGGCCACCTGGCACCAGACCCCCATGTCGGCACCCCAAAGCTGTGCTCAGGAAATGTTTCCAGGGAATTCTGGTTCGCGTCAGTTTTGGTTTTGTTTCAAGAAAAAAAACAAACCACTCTTATAAACACTGAAAATGACTTAGGGAAATATTTTCACTGGCAGATGTCAGGCCTCAGCAGTTCTTACAGGAATTATCCCCAGGATCCTGAGCAGAGGACACGCTCCCCCATCCCTGTGCAAAGCTGTAACAAAGAGGCTGCTGTGCTGCCGCCACTGCCATCAGACCCCGAGGTGCCCCAGGTGGAGCTGAAACAGGTCAGGGTGCCGAGGTTTAAGTCCTTGGAGGAACGTTTAGTTACTCCTCTGCAAAATCCATCGCTCACCTGCCAGACCCCCAGGCAGGGGCCAAGAAGTGCCCCGGGCACTCACCCTGAAGTCGATTCCCACGGTGGAGATGAAGCTGCCGGCGAGGAACGCGCCGTCTTTGAACCGCACCAGCAGGCAGGTCTTGCCAACCCCGGAGTCGCCCACCAGCATCACCTGGGAGGGAGGGAGGGGAGTTAGACTCCAGGTTTTGGGAAGGAAGCCCCCTGCAGCCATTACCCAGCTCCATCCCAGGAGCAGGCAGCAGATCCCACACGCTCGAGAGGAACAAAGCACATCCAAGAGCAATGGACCCAGGGGAGGGTGGGGGGCAAAAGGGGGACTCGCAGCAGAATGATTCCCCATCCTGCACCATGTGTGTCCCTGAGCACTAGCTCAACTCAAGACACCTTACCCCAAGCTGTACTTAACAAGTCCTTCATGGGGGCACAAACCCACCCCTGAAAACCAAGAGGTGCCAGCTGGGTGACACAAGCTGTAACCCGACGGCTGCAGGGCCCAGGGGCTCCCCAACACACCCACAAAACACCCCACCACTGTGGGGCTTTCTGGGATGTGGCACCACCCATGGGGAGACTTCAGGGAGTCCCCAACCATAAGCGCCAGCTCCAGGGGTGCATCAGCCCTCTGCAAGCAACTGCCTTCAGTGGGACCCACACACGCCCACAGCTGCCCTCCTGGTCCTCTGCAGATGCCAAGGGAGCAGCTCCCGGTGCCCCTGCCTCAGTTTCCCCACCCAGCAGCTGCCCTGGGTGCAGACAGGGCAGGCAGCCCCCTGCCACAGAGACCACGGCAGAGCTGAGCCTGCTCCCAGACACAGCTCCCCAAAACCTCAGCCCAAACCAACAGGCCCCCTGCCCCCTGGGGCACCGAGCTCTCTCCCCTCAGTGGGATGACAACTTCCCACCACGAGAAATCTGGGACCATGGAGCCGGGCTGTGTGAGCTCCTTCTGCACCTGCCACGGCAGGTTCCCTCTCTCCCAAGGTGCTCCCATCAGCCTTCCCAGAGCCATTAGGCTGTGACAGGGTTTAAATGGTTTTAAGGCAGGGACTGCCCTGGGTAACATCGAACCCTCCCAGGAGCCATCCGAAGTGGCAAATGCCACCCTGGCTCTGCAGCTCAGCCCTGAGAGGTGGCAGCAGCCCCAGGTGCAGGTGTAGCTCATTTTGGGGCAGGAGGGCTCTGCCCAGGAGGGCAGGATCCAGCCACAGTGCCCCAGCCCCCACGGTGCAGAGCCCCACACACCGAGCTCTGGCACGAGGGTTGAGGGCAGCCAGCGAACCACGGGTGTATTGGTGCAAAGCCAAGGGAAGGGGGGGAAGTCAATTTTAGTACAAAATATTGGGGTTCTTTAACTTTCCAGACCTCTCTCTGAAACAGGTGACCCTCAACAGCGGCTTCTCCCCACTCAGCACCACCAGTGCCTCACCAGGCATGCAAAGCACCCGGGGCCAGGATGCAGCCCCGTACCCAGGACCTGCATTTGGCCACTGCCTCAGGCAGAGCTCAGGAGCCTCAGAAGAGGGGCAAGGGAAGGAGAAAGTTTAACAAACCAGGTTTTTACTGGATACAAAGCAGTTTCTCTCTGCCACTGGTTCAAAATCAGCCAGACCGTTAGCAGAGGTTTTGGCTAACTGGGGCATTTGGGCTTCTCTGAGACCCATTTGGCTCATCCCTGTGCCATGGGCACAATTCCCAGGGAAAGCCACAGCCTGGGCAGGCAGAGGTGAGCCCCAGGAGCCAGGAACCAGCGCAAACACGGAGGTGGCTCCATTTTAGGGAAGCCGTTAAACCGTTACTGCAGCTGTATCAGGACCAACCGCCTACCAAAGCAACCAAACCCACTTCTGGAACACCCCTCACCTCCTACCCCACATCCCAAACCTTAACACGATAGCCACACCAACTGCCACCGGCACCGAGCTCTCGACACCACACACCGCGGCAGGACCTGCCCCAGCAAAGCCCGCGTTCTCCCGGCTCAGTCCCCCACGCTCGGTTACAGAGATCCGTGTTAGAAGCACAGCCAGAGCGTTTGCACCGAGTTGTAGCCTCAGCCAAAATCACTAAATGAGCCCCCATATTGCTAAGTGCGCCCTAAAATCATCAAGTGAGCTTCAGGCTGGGCTTGCATCAGGTCGTATGATGAAGTGGGGGGGACGCAAATTAATTTGTTCTGTGACTCTCTCGGCAGGATCTGAAGCAGCGAGAAGAAGCCATCTGAGCCCAGAAAGCTGGAGACATCTCAGCATCAGCCAGAGCAGACTCGATGCCACTCAGGGGGTGCCATCACCCCGCTCACAGCCCCGTTTTTTGTAGGTTAAAGAGGAGCCGGGAGGCCACAGCAGCTCCCCGGAGCAGCCTCTGGCCATCACTTGCACAAGTCCCGCAGCAGCAGCCCCGCTGCCGGGGGGCTCTGCGAGCTCAGCCCCCGCTGATCCCGACCCTGCCGCCCCGGGAGCCCCTGCGGAGACCCCGACCGGGCGGCTGCGGACGGACGGGATGCCGGGGCTCGGAGGGAGGGAAGCAGGGATGCAGGGATTCAGGGAAGCAGGGATGCAGGGATCCAGGGATGCCCGCCCGGTCCTGACCGCGGGAACTTCGGGGACGCTACAGCCGACCCCGCACCCGACTGACCCCGCGCTCCCGGACCCCTCCCCGCAGCACCCCCGGCCCCGCACCTTGAAGGCGAGGTCGTAGAACTCTCCGCTGCTGCTCAGCGAGGGCCGCCCGGCCGCCGCGCCGCCGTTGCGGGGCAGCTCGGGGGCGGTGGCGGAGCTCCCCCGGGGCGCGGCGGCGGCGGCCCGGCCGGTGCCCTGCGCCGGGGGCAGCGCGGCCGAGGGCGCGGCTCCGCCGCCTTTGCCGCGAGCCGCCTTCTTGCGCGACATCGCGGGCCGGGGCCGCGGCCGCGCCGGGCGAGGGGGCGCGGGAGCCGCCGCCGCCCGGCCCCGCCCCCTGCAGCCCTGCCGCCAATGGCAGCGCCGAGCGGCCGGCGAGGGGGCGTGGTCTGAGCGCCGGCCACGCCCCTGCCACGCCCCACAGCGCCGGACCGGGGGGTTACGGGGGGTCCCGGGGGGGCTGGGAAGGAACCGGGAGGCTGGTATTGGGGTGCACGGGGTCTGCGGGAGCGAAGGGAGTCGCGAATGGGGGGGGTCACACCCACCCATGGGGTGCCCGCACGCCGAGGACCAGCGCGGGGCCCCCCACGCCGCCCCCGCACGCTCCAGCCCTGGTGCGGCTCCCCAGCGAGGTCTGGGGTCCGTCCCGTAGCGGGTCCCCCCCGCTCGGGTTTGCCACAGTGCGGGGGGGGCCACGGGAGGCAGACACGGACCCTCTGCTGCTCGCAGCATCCCTCGAGGAATGCGGTGTGAGGGGGTCGTGGAGCAAGGTCGAGGCCACCGCGGGGACACGGCGTGGGCTGCGGGGCATGGGGCCGGGAGCCCAGGTTCCCCCCGGTCCGTCTCAGCAACTAGTTTCAACGAGCAACACTTGGCATCTCTCTCTGCTCACAAATGTCACCTGAGGCGCTGGCGGGTCTCTCGGCTGGAATAAACGTCTTCAGCTATGTGACAGATTCCAGTAGCACGGCCTCGGCCTGGCTGGGAACGGGGACTTCAACAGCACGGCAGAGCAGAACTGGGAAATAAATCACTGTCGTGAGAAGCCAGGCAGGCAAACGGTGAGGATGGAATAGGTGGCAACACTGGCACAGGGAGGTGACAGCGGGATCAGCATCCCAGCAAGCCTGGGGGCAGTGCCAGAGCTCAGGTGACAGCTGTGAGGGGTCGTTCTCACTGTGGCCATGGATGAGACTTTTCCCTTTGGGAGCATTTAAAATCTATAGTTAATCCCTTTTCAAGGGCTCTGAAGCACCCCAGGGAATGAACAGGGGCAGGCAGCAGGGTTCTCATGGATTTGGCCGTGGACAAGGGAGGTGGACCAGGAGCTTGTGTGCATGGCTCCAGGGTGGGATCTCCCTTCTCCCATCCTGAGTTTCAGGCATGGCCACGGCTGTCACAGGCTCCAGGGAATGCTGAGGAGCTCTGTGTCTGCAGCACTCCTCCGACACAGCTGAGGATGAAGGAAAAGCTGTCACGGTGGAGGTTCATCTTCCCACTTCCCTTCATGTGCTCTTAATCCCGACGATCTAGCTGGGAGATGGAAGACCTGCCTGGCAGTGCAGACTGGATGTCAGGGTTTTGCACTTTAATCTGATTTTCTGGGACAGCTGCAGTCAATAGAGGCTGAGGCCTCAGAGCAAAGTGCAATGCTGGAACTACGTATGGGGCTGCAGGTATAAACCAGCCCCTGTGCTGTGGCCAGGGTGCAGCTTTTCCCAGTGGAACGTGCCCAGAGGAAGGGGGTACCCAGCCCTGGCACCTCTGTGTGCCTTCGGGGCACACCCTCACAGGCTGCCTTGCTGCTGCACAAGGATTTTCCCCTCTCCCATCCCCAGCTGATGATGATGGAAATCTCCATCAACAGCTCAGGAGCAAACAAAGCCAGCTGCTTATCGAGGCCGCATCAGGGCAACGCCGGAGGAGATGGCCCCTTATCAGCGGCAGCAGCCGGCAAGCGGGCCTGGAAAATTCTGCCTGTACCAAAGGTCGTGTGCTCCAGTGGCTGCAGCAGGGCTGATCCCCATGGCCCTTGGCCACCCAAAATCAGCTTTGGCGGCAGCAGAGCTCAAAGCACCACGGCCGCGGTGAGAGGCACCTCCTGCAAGTTTCTCTCCTGTAGGAAAGGCGTGTGCAGAGACACAGCCTGCTCAGAATCGCAGTCACGCCTGGAGATGTTGCTCCTCATATAGTTACAGGAACTAATCAGATAACGGCAGCTGAACTAAGGGGGATATATTTGCTAAAAATAGCTTAATGGAACAACAGACGCCTGGAGATACGGCGTGCCTGGGGGAAGCGGGGCTGGCAGGGCTCTGAGCGGGGCTGACCGTGCCAGTGGCTGCCTGGTGCTCACAGCCATCTACATATTTGTAAATTTGTTTTTAGGGGTAGAAAATCAGCTCGTCCACATCATGTGGTCAAGCCAAGAGGGCGGTTGTGCTGCTGTATGGGGGGCTGTGAACACAAGCACAGACAGGCAGCTGGTGCCACCATTGCCACCTGTACCAACGGCCATGGGGACAGCACCTGCCCTTGGCTCGGCCACCCCCGCTGGGGGACAGAGCTCCACACAGGGCTGGAGACACAGCGAGCCCACCTGGGGCCGAGCACCATGCTCTGCCCAGCTGCTCTGCACAAACACTCTGCTTCGGGGGTTTAAATCTGGCTGTTTTCTTTGGCACGGAGCTCCGCAGGGTTCTGCGTGCCAGAAGTTCCGCGCCGTGCTCAGAGCCAAGTGAGATATTTCGATGCGAGGCCATCTCTCCCTCCTCCTGCTGGTCTGGGTTGTTCCATCGCTGGCTCGTGCTGCAGCTGCCCCCACGCTCCCTCAGCTGCTCCATCCCCTGCTCCTGGTCAGGATGGAGCCATTCCTCTCCCGGCAGCCCGGGAGCCTGCCGAGCCTGCTCTCCTCCTGGTCCCAGCTCCTGGTGCCAGCTCGGATGGAGCAGAGCCGTCTCTCCAGCAGGCAGGCTGCAAGGACGAGCTATTCCCATCAGACACGATGTCAGCTGCGCCAGCTTGGAAGATATTCATCTTCCTTGCCTGGTGGCTGCAAGAAAGATGGTGCAGGCTCTTCCCATGTGCTCCTCGTTGTGCCTCTGCTGTCACCTACTGCAATGCCACCAGCCAAAGGTCAGGGGGCTTCTCTGTCCCCCTGTGCTGGGCACTGGTGAGGCTTAATCTTGAATTCTGGGGTCAGTTTTGGGCCCCTCACAAAAAGAAAGATATTGAGGGGTGGTAGCATGTCCAGGGAAGGGAACGGAGCTGGGGAAGGGGCTGGAGCACCAGGAGCAGCTGAGGGAGCTGGGGGGGCTCAGCCTGGAGAAAAGGAGGCTCAGGGGGGACCTT